ACCAGTATCTTTATTTTCTGTCAGTGCAAAGATGCTCTCAAGGAAAAGACGGCGTTCTGAACTTCAGTTTCGACAACACACTCTCACACACTGCCTAACAATTACAAAGCATTGAGCCATGGGCGTGCTAGAGACTTTGATTTAGCCAGGATGCTAGGAAACTTTCCAAACTGAGCAGCCTCTTGCTGGTTAGAACTCTCGAAACACACCTCGCTGCCGCTATTTGCATATGAATAGCAAGCAGGTGGAAAGGCATACATATCGGGGTGGCCAGCGCTTATGGCCACGTTAATGGCAAACTAAACTGCAAACTTTGCTTTTGCACCGACGCACGCATACGTAATAAAAGGTGTAAATGAGCAAAAGAACCAACTGCCATGCAGCAGGTGAGGGGGGCGGAGTGGGCGGTCCGAGGGGGGGCTGAAAGTCAGCCAGGTGAACAGGCAGCCAGACATGGACTTACGCCTTGGCCCATTATAAGGGCCACTTGCTGCCGACTAAGAAGACAGCTTTGTATTTATTTCACCGGCACAGTGGTGAAGCTAATTGAAATTTAGAACGTTAGTTGGAAGAGATAAATATTTTAATTTAAATTTCATGATAATTTGGTAAGAAAAATATTACTTGAACTAAGAAAGTCTATTTTACTTTTAATATTTTTGAAGTTTTGTATTTAAAGTTACCTTTTTGGTCTTGAACATTTTTTTGCTTATTCAACTTTTTAAATTAATTAATTAAGTTAGCAATCAATAAAGTTATCTTTAACATTGACAACATAGTAATTCGTTGCTTTTTCTACTTTACCAAGTTTTTAGGTTTGTGAAACTTTAATGTAAGTTATTAAGTTATTAAAAAATTTTTTTTAAGTAGATCTACGACAATATAGTAAGAACGTAAGGTTAACTTAGTTAAACCTTTAAAAGGTGGTAGCAATTAAATATATGTTCAACATTATTTTAAACTAAAGACTGAATTTGTTTCAATAATTCAGTAAGAATGTTTTAATTAGTGTTTTTGAAGCTTAATAAATTGTAGGTTTACAGAATAAAAATGCTTTTGTCGTTCAAAAGTTTTTTAGGTTTTAAAGTATTACCTAGTAAAAATGATTTTAAAAACAAATTATACTAAAAAAATGTAAATTTGTTTTGTTCAGTAATTATTTTCATTGTTGAAATAGATAGATCGACCTTTAATATATTTCTTCTCTTGGTCGGTGGTAAGTCCTTTATAATCTTTTATCTAATAAATAATTTTAAAAATGTTATTGAAATATACAAATTGAATTCATAAGTTTTTGATTAGAACACAATTTCAGCACACGGTGTTGTGTGTGTATTAAACTAAATTTAGCGTCACTTTGAGTTATGGCAGCAGCGGTGACGATGACTTGGTAGCCTTGGCAGCCGGAGCGACAGCTATTACAATGCGAGCCCCGGAATAGTCATGGGTGGGGGGGTGGAGTCCTGGGCAAGGACATCATGTTTGCAAATTTATGTAGTTGTAAGTTGTGCCAAAGGAAATGCCATAAAAATGAGAAACAGAATTGTGCGGGCAGCGAGCGGATGGATGGTTTGGCAAGCTCGGACGCGCTTAAAGTGCAATTAGCGCACGTAATTGTAATCGAGTTGGCTATAAGGCACCTGCAGTGGCCAACAGTCCACCTTCCACCCCCTTTTCTCCCACTTTCTGCCTTCCGTCTGTCTGCCCACGGGGCTCCATGGTTTTTTTCGGCTGCTTTCTACTTGACTCGTTTAAAGGCAACCTGGGAGCTGTAAATAAATTTGGCACTTAATCATATTTACGGATTTCGTGGGCACATTTATTTATGTGTCCCACAGTGGCCGCAGCTACTTACTGCACTTTGCCATCCAGTATTGTGTGTGTGTTTTTTTTTTATATAGGGGTACATTTACGCGGCTTGAGCTAGAGGATTTCTTGGCCGGACGGAAACACAATACGCCCAAGACCAATTTGGGCCCATTCTCGAGAGTCGGACTTTCTGCCTAATTATGCGTTCTGGCATTGTCATGGATACCCGAAAATCCAGGATCCACGAGGCTAATTAGGCCCAAAGCGTTGGCCATTGTGCCACACCGTTAGACGGGCATTGTTAACTCCACTCATACCCGAGTTCACTCACCTGTTCGCTTCCGCTTTTCTGGCTTTATGAATATTTCAGGCAGTTTAAACGGCCGCTGTAAGCTAGAACTTGGAACTGATTTATTTGCCATTTGATGGCCGGCGAAATAAATAAACATAAACCAATATCGGTTTGGGCATTGTTTCGCTGGATGTGTTGCGGTTCCTGTGGGTTTCGTTTAATTTTCGTAAGTGTTGCACTCGATGTTTTTGCATAATTTGCGGTTTGTTTTGATCGGTTGCGGAAAAAGTTGATAACACGGATATGCTTGTTTTCGAATTTATTAAATAAAATTAAAACACTCTCCAAGAGATCATGTATGTATTGACATTTCCACCAAATGCTTTGACAAACTCTGTTTCCCAGAAATTCATTACTCAGCCTCATCGATATTTGTCACTATTGTTGTTCTCGATTATTGTTAAGTGCAGGTGGGCTGGCGAACGGAGCTCTGAGAATGGGGGAAAACTGTCACTTGAATGCATTTTCATTACACCTCATTACATTTCACTTGCATCTGCAATTGTGTCACGTCGCCGGCTTTCGCTGCCTTCAAGTCCATGAATGCCGGGCCTGAAAAATGCCGAGCGAATGGATTCGTTAGCTGAATGGGCTGTGAGTGTTTTTAATTGAAAACAATAAAGTTCTTCTGGGGGAACTGGGCCTCCTCCCAAACAATGCATTAAATGTAGCAGCTGGAGGAGCTTTCATACGAATTTTTCACGCTCTTTTTAATAAGTTAGAATATCTCCTTGTGAAAACCTTATTCTTTTATAATTGCTTAAGAACGAAAAGTGATATGATCATTACAATGAATGCTAAGATTGGCATTGACTTGCATAGAATTTTATTTTAGAGATACATTTTTATCTATTTATCTTGGGTTTTTATTAATATATTCTGATTTGTATATGATTCTATTACTTTCTTAACATTTAATTTCAAGCTTTAAACTGGTTACAATATTTTTAAATGCTGCTACTAATTTGCTTGCAAGATTTTATAATAAATAAAATATAAATGTAATGTTTAGAACATTTAGAACCATTTCCTTTTACCACTTGTTTTCTAGAGACTTAAGATATTTGTTTAATTAAATAACGTTTGCATTACAACGGAAATACAAGTCTTAAATTTGTGATTTTTAATATCTTTCCAAAAAAAAGTCCTCTTTTAGTTGGTTGCCTAAAACTATAATTTGCACTATCTAAATAAAAGATTAATATTACCCCGCTTCAAATACTCTCACCCGTGATGAAGAACGCTTTGAGCTAAAAGCTGAGCATTCGATGGATTGTTCGGTCCGCTTTCTTTGTTTGAGGCGTAAAAGGCCTCCCATGGAAATGGAAATGGAAATGGAAATGGAGATGGAAACGGCGGTGATAGAGCCGCCGTAGATGGATAGATACGAGTTGTGTTCGCGGCAGACAATACTCGTTCACAAAATGCGAATGCGAAAGTGATAATTAAAAATCGCGCCATATATACTGGTTAACAGATACTGTTGTTGCCGATTCTTTGCCCGTTGTTTTCCCGGCATGAAATGTGTATTGTTTATGATTTTCTCCCGCTGCCGGGCAGGATATTCGCATTGCAATCAGCATTGGTCTGGGGAAAATCAAGGGGGAGTGGCATGTGGGCGCGAATGAAGTGATCAATGCGCCTAACAATGATTGACGGCTTTTCCAGAGACAGGGGACAGGGGGCGGGGGACAGGGGCGCCGAGGAGCTGGGGGCCATGAAAAGGCTGTCGAAGATGGAGCTCCCCTCCCCCCGCACAGCTGCAGCTGACAAACAATTATGCAAAATCGCTGGCGTTTGCAGTTTTATGCAAAAATTAATTTTGCATTTTTAATTTTACACTGCCAGTGGCGGGGGCTTAAAGCGAGGGGCGGAACACATCACATGGCGCAAAACGCTGCGACAGCACTCTGCACTGCTCACAAAGGATTGATAAGGGATAGACTTAGCCGGCCTTACACTTGAAAAAAGTTACGTTCCAGTTTTTAGGCTACTTTAGGCTATACATGGGTTTTCTTTATGTGCTTTTTATTTTGTTAGTCATAAGTAGTAGCAAAATGAGTTTTATTTAAATAAATAGATGTACTATTTGGGGAAATAAATTTATGCTGCAATTTTTAATAAAATGCTCCCAGTTTTTTATTTCATATTAAAATTTCCATAGTTTTGTTTCACTCAATTTCTAAAATTATATATGGTTTAATACAGATATTTAATAAACTATTCTTATCTACATTAAAAAGTTTATAATTAAAAATTATTTTTAATTTGAAATTTGGTTTGCATTTATATCGTTACTGCTCCTACACATAACTATAAAACTCAAAACGTCACCGATATTTGTGGCTTATTAAAACTAAGGGTTACATTTTTATTAAAAGTATTTTTGTGAAAAAAATTTTTTTTCTCTTGATTTAAAAACTTTTGCTTTAAATTTTCAAACATATGGTTTTAAATGTCAGAGCAATAAGTTAGTTAACAACAGTAGTTTTATTACTTGTTTAATGTTTTAAAATTTATTTGTGGCCTTACAACTATGCAATTGTGTATTACAGTTTTAAAAGGTTTTACTTTTAATATAAATAAAAGATTTATTTCTTGGCTTATTTCACATCTATGTTATTAATGTTTTTAAAATTTTCTTTTAATTCCGAAAATCGGCTCACAAAAACCTCACCTCACTATTTAAGTTTAAATTTGCTTATAGTATTTTTTTTAGTGTAACTTAAGATGTGAGAATCACGCGATCAGTAATCAGGTCCCACTTTTTGGCCACGTACCCCAGAAGGTGGGCTGTTTGCTCGCCACCCGATCCGCAAATCATTCCGCAATCGGAAGACCTAGTAGTTGGTTGTTCAAGATGTTCCAAGCGGACCGCAGAGATTTGGCCTGTCATCTGATCAGGTTGGATTCGCCCAAGGAGCTGGATCATCCTCGAGTGGTCCAGGTGCCGGATCCTGATCGCCAGGACATGCAGTTCCCGGACATCTGGCTGCGCGACAATTGTCGCTGCAAGGAGTGCTATTTGCCACAGACCCTGAGTAGATTGCCCCAGCTGTGGAACAACCTGGACACCAGTGTGCGGGTCCTGCGGCAGAGCGTGGATGTGGAGCAGCAGGTCCTGTACATAGAGTGGTCCGATGGGCATGCCTCCCAATATCCTTACAATTGGCTAAGGGAGCGGGACTTTTCAGCTGCCAATCGCCAGCGTTATTTGAGTGAATTCTACCGTCCGGAGCAGAAGTTGTGGAGCGGTCAAAACTTCGAGGAAGTCCGTCGAGTCTTCTACTTCCAAGAACTGATCACCAGTGATTCGGCGTTGCTGCAGTGGCTCCAACACCTGGCGGTTTACGGAGTGGCTCTCGTGAAGGAGGCCCCTCTGGAAATGGATGTCCTGCGAAGGCTATCCAACCGAGTGGGCTTCATGAGACGCACCACCTACGGGGAGGAGTTCAGTGTTCGGGCTCAGCCGGGTGCCAGTAACTACGCCTACCTGGCAGCCCCACTTCCCCTCCACACGGACATGCCCTACTTCGAGTACCTGCCCGGAGTGACATTGCTGCACACCCTGGAGCAGTCCGCCTCCCCGGGCGGAGTCAACCTCCTGGCCGACGCCTTCTACGTGGCCGAGATGATGCGTGAGAGACATCCGAATCAGTTCCGGGCTCTCTGCCAGACGCCCGTGGATTGGGCGGACATCGGAAGCGACGGCGACCTGCAGTTCCACAACATCTGGCAGGCACCGGTAATCAAGTGAGTAAATCTAGATAGATTTCCGATTATATAGTTTCCTTAAGTTATGGAAATTCAATTTTAAATTTCATAGCATTCAGTTCAAGCAGCAAAATGAAACACTTGTTAAAGAATAAATGAGAGGAAGGGCGAAATCTGTTTTGTTTGAAATTGGTTCGGAATTTATATTTACATTATGTACACTTCAACCGAATTTCAATCCAACATATTTCTGTTCAACTCCCGATTAAGGATACCAAATTATAGCAGCTCAAAATAAGACTTTCAAATGAATAACTTTTAAATCATGTAAAGTTCTTTTGTTATAAAATTTTTTTTATTGGATGTTTCTCTATAAATTTACTTTAAATTTTAGCTTGGCGCAAAGAAAACTTCTTGAGTTTGTAATGAAACATTTAATGAATAGGAAAAGGCTATTCGACAGAATACAATTAATACATTTTTGTAAGGGACGAGGCTTTTATTTTTAGTCTTGCTTATATTTTAAACATCAAATCACTTAAAAGCGCTTAAAGATATTTGTTTTATTCTGACATTGCTCCAAAAATGTTCATATTAAAGACTAATAAATATAAATAAATATTTTTTGTTTTAAAATTTACTTTTCTTAAAAGTTTAAGTATTTGGCTTAAATCGACTAAATATTTTATCTGCCCACATGGAAGACAGTAAAACATAGTTTGTGAATCAGAACCTGGCTAACCCATTTCAAACCATTCCAGCTTGGACGCCGAGGGGCGGTGTGTGCGGATCAACCACAGCATTCCGCAGCGGGACAGCCACTTCAGCGTGCCCATGGAGCAGGTGCGTCCGTGGTACGAGGCGATGGCGACCTTCGTGGGTTTGGCCCAGGAGCACTCGTGCAGGTTCAAGACCACGCCCGGCGACGTGCTCACGTTCGACAATTTGCGCCTGGTCCACGGACGAACCGGGTACGACGATACGGATCGCAATGTGCGCCACATCCTGGGCGCCTTCGTCGACTGGGACATCGTGTACTCGCGACTGAGGGTCCTGCGGAATGCCACCGCACCTGGTGCTCCTTAGATGGCAGCCACATGTGCTGTGATTGCGATACTAATTAGCCATCTATCAATGCCAGCCACGTTGATTGACACCGCACCGTTGCCATAGAGTTAATCGAATTATTAATTTACATTCGCATTTATTGTTTAATTGATATTATACTTACATTCAGATTTTAAATAAATACAATGTTAATGGGTATCTGCCTTTGACACACTTCAATGCTAATTGACGCTATTTAATTGGGTTAAACATGTGATTTTAGGCCATTCAAGGTGGAGGAAGTCAATCGAGCTAATCTGTCAAACGTGAACATCTGGCTGATAAGTTAGTCCATTAGATTTTATGGCACCCTGTATGAGTGTAATTGGTATATCAGACTATTTAGTATTCACTATCACCCATATATTTATGACAAAAACTAGTAATAAATTCATAGAAGATATTTTTAGTCTTGTAAACTGATAAATCATATTTTTCGGAAACGTTGGTTTAATATATTTGTAGAATTTATATAAGCTGGCAAGATATACATCTGATTATTATTAAAGAAATCTACTTATACGTTTTGGAAAATTACATTTTACTTGTTGTGATTCAAAACCAACATAAATAGTTCTAATAATAAGGGTTTATTTTGGGTATCTGTTTTTTTCTCGGCTATAGTTTTCAGTGCCACAATTTCATAATGCCTGTGATTACAGGGTATTGCAAATAATCACCCTTTCTACACACGATTTCCGACAACCAAACAGGCCACTGGAAGTGAAAGTCCAGCACACGTCATTGTTTACGCCGGGCACAAAGTGGCTTATCAGTGGCCAGTTGAGTCAACAGAGTCTTCAAATATATACAGTGGTGGTCAAAAGTATTTGCACATTTCTTATGAGTAAGTACGTGTAATTTGTGCAAATACTTTTGACCACCCCTGTATATGTGTATTCCGGTTATCAATTTATGGCAATGCCGAGATCAACACCGACTTGGCAGAGCTCTTAGCTCTTGGCATGCGAGTAAATCACACCCACACACCTCCAAGTTTCCAAGCCCTTCGATTTTTACGGGACAGAAGGAAACTTTCGGTTTGTCTTGGATGTTGGGGTGTCTTTTTTTTTTTTTTTTGGGATGTTTGGGTGCGGTGGGGCCACCGCAGGCAAATCCTTTGGAAATCTTTTTATTTATGTCATTGATGCAGCCAAGACCAAGTGAGAGCGAAGGAAACAACCGGCAACCGGCAACCGGCATCCGAATCCGAATCCGAGTTGGAGCACATGAATTCGTACATGGCAGCGAGTAAATCCCTCTAATAATCCACATAATAAGCACTGGAAGTAGCTGTGGCAGCAACAGGCCGAAAGGGTTGCCCCGTCTCTTGTTTATAAGTTCATAAAAGTCAACGGGCCGGGAAGTTCGACTGCGACTGTGGGTCGGGGGTTGGGGGCACATAAAAAGCGAGCCAAATGCAAACGGAAAATGGCCAAAAAGAAAAGGCAGGCCAAAGCCACCAGTCGCAAATCCAATTTCTTCGGTTTGTGTGCGAGTTTCGGGGTAGGTGAAATTTTACTGCAGTTTCGGGCGGACCGTGCAGCAGTCATAATGTGTAATTGAAAACCTGCCTTGAATTGTTCCCCTGTGTGAGGTACTATATATATAGTCCTTACCAACAAAAAAAAAAAATATCCCTAATTGGCAATATGGTCAGCCCAGGAACAAACTGTGTGACAGAATCGAGAAGGTGGTTATTTCGTAAACAAGCTGAACTAGGTGAAAAAAGATTTACAACAGGAACTTTGTTATTATTACAGTGAAGGATAATTCAAAATTTTTAAGGAGCAAAGAAAAATATTAATTTATATACTAATAACACTTTAATTAGTCATTAACTAGACATTTAAAGGAAATTAATATAAAGTTCGATAACATTTTTTGATAGTCTACAAACAAATTTTTACAGTTTTATTTTTGAAAGTTGTATCACGCCCATTTTAGAAATATTATATTACAATTTCCCTACTTTCCTTAGCTTTAATTAAATCTTATCAACACAAAACTTTCTGGACTCATTATTGTCCTTTAATAACTTCATAAAAAATATTTGTAGTCTTGTAAGTTGATAAATTATGTTTTTCGGAAACGTAGGTTTAATATATTTGTAGAGTTTAATATAAGCTGGAATAATAAACAGCTGAGTATTATTAGAAAAAAAAATTACGAGTTTGGAAAGTTACATTTTACATGTTGTGTTTCAAAACCAACATAAATATTTAAATGATCGTTTATGTATTTAAGAAATGTTGTTTTAGCAAAAGCCTGGGAATACATTGTTAAAATATGGCTCAAAATTTGGAAACAAAGATTTTATGATGATATATATCAATAGTTTTGCTTACCAGCTTTTAGCCATTACAAAAATTAAGAATTAATAAAATAAAAAAACATTCAAAAAACCAAATTAAATTTATTTGTTTGTAACTTTATATTTTCTGTGATAGATTATTACTATTTTAGCTTAAAATTTGTTAATATTCGGAAGAGGCAGTTTTAAGACTAGTTTGTTCTATTCACTTTATACTCTGGTTTTTATTTGGCTTAAATTTATTGCTTTGAAGTGAATGAAACTCAGAATATGTCATTTTCCAGCTGTTTCTTTAGCTGTAAGATCATTTTATATTTTTATCGGCTTAAGCAACAACAGTTTGAGATTTCCCCCTAAACAGGAGAAAGGGTTTTCCAGCGCGACACTTGCACAATTGCCAAACTAATACGCTCACACACCATCTCCACGATTTCCGCTGTGTCTGCGGCTTTGCCTCTTGGCCTCCTTCCTGTTGGGATTGTGGTCGGGTTTTGTGTGCCAAGATTTTGGCCAGGACAATGCCAAGTTTGGCTGTCACAATGATAAACATGCGGCAATTGACGCAATCATTGTCTGTCCATGAATTGAATTAAATCAACTCAACTCGAGTGGGAAACCCCTTCTTCGCGCTGACACTTGCAAAATCAGCGAAGGACATCTATATTTTCTAGCCTGTGATTCTCGAAAATCAATGCCCTGGTTATGCTTGGCGTGGCACCGAAATCAAGCCACAACTATGGGTTACAACGAGTGATTGTCAGTCTGTCAGTGGGGGAGGGGAGGGGAGGAGAGGGGGATATGTTGCAAACAAGGGTTAAGGCTGCTGTTCGGGTAATGCCCCATAATTCCGATTCCGATTCTGCTGCAGGACAGCGCATTTTGCTTATTAGAATCCGCTTGTGCTCCTTAGAGTGTGTGTGTGTGGGTGTGTGTGTCTGAATGTGAGCTCCTTGATGCCGCTGGAGGGTAATAAATTCCCGTCCATCCCCCCTTCGTCCTGGCAATTTCAAAGTTTATCACCAACGCGCGTCTGCAACTTATGTCGTCTTTTTCCGCTACTTCGTCCTCGTCTTTCGTCCTGCGTCCTTCGTCCTGTTCCTGTTTGTCTGCACGTCTGTTGTGGTTATGTGAAATCACATCGTAAAAATGTCCAGGTCCAAATGTGTGTATGTGTGTGTGTGTTGATACCAAAGCCCATAAGTCCCGCCTGTCTCACCTGAGTTTTCGCGGGGTGGCGGCAACCCTTTCGCCTTTCTCCTTTTCACATTCACCATTCAATTTATAGATGCCGCCCATATAAATATTTATTTCTATGTGCAGCTGCCTGCCCCTTTGACACCACGCCGCGTCATCATTATTATTTTTATGCGCGCGTCTTAAAAGCATTCCGCCGATCAATAAACCAGCGCTGCCGCATCCTTTCCAATAAGCGAAAGTGGTTTTTGAGCCGCCACAGTACGTGTGTGTGTGTGTGTTGGTGTGTGTGTGTGTGTGCCATCAAACAATTAAAGGTCATAGCGACCTGAAAAGTGGGGGCACGGCATGTGGCATTCCGAACTGGGCCAAATCCCTGGCAATGCTGCAACATTAGCCGGTTGTCATCGCCAGCCGTGCCACACAATGCAAATGCAAATGCAAATAATTTCCATTTAGCCAGCGACTGCTGCAACATCATTTGGCATTTTTAATTAGGCTAACACCGGTTCCATTACAAAATGGTGGGGGCAGCAGACTATAAAACTCACATTAATGGAGTGGAGGTGAATATTTATGCTTTTTCGGTTGCGAATTTATATCCTTCTGCTAATATCCGTGAGTATTTGTCAGTGAGGGCTTAAAAAGTTGCATTTTGATTTTAATATTTGCAAATAAAACCAATTTAAGCTATCAAATAATTTTTATTTATTTATTTCTGCATAAACTATGTAAGACTTTGCAGGGTGTCAATATCAAAATTAATGATTTAATTGAGCGGCGTGTGAAAACTATGAAAACCAATACCTTTGAGAGTCTGAATTAGACATATAATGGGCAAATACAAAACGAACCGCATTCTGGGATTATTATTATTTGGAATAGTCAAATATTAGGCTTTCGGTGTGCAATAGCTCGTTTTCCTCTGGTTGCATGCACAATTGGCATAACTGCAGCCATTGACAGGATAAATTGCAAATGGCAAAAGTATGTGAATATCCTTTCGTGCCTATGTGTAGGATATATATATATATATATATTTAAGCAGTCTGAAATCGACGCAATGTAAATGCTGATGGCTGCAGGCATCGTCATTATCATCAAGGCAACAACATCGTAATTAGTGCCAGGAATTGAGTTACGCTCTGAATTAATAACATTTCCGGCATTATAATTTGGACAATATATCACGGGTGTTATCGAGATGGCTGGGAAAGGGTCGCTTAAGTTTGTGGCAAGGCAAAACGTAACGGTAAATTGGTTAACAATTACACAAATCTCATAATGAAGTTAAGAGCCCCAATGCTTTCGTCCTGGCCAAAACCGATTTCTATGGCATCGCCAGGACCCGGAACATTTCCATTGCCTGCGGTCAGCAGAATTTCCATCGCCCCGTCTCTTTCCCTGTGTGCATATACCCGTCTCACTCTCTGTGTTAAATTGATTAGATGTTGTTGTTGTTGTTGTTGTTGTGGGTGGGGGTGGTGGTTGGGCTGTGCCCTTAGCCATAGCTGCACTTACCACCAGCCAATTTGCAGCTTTGTTCTCGAGTGTAACCCTTAACAGGTGTTGATGTTTGCTAAGTAGCTCCTGCCCCCCATTTCACACACTTTCCCACTTTTACCGCCCCTTTCCGGCTAGCTGCACATTG